GAAGTTTTAATCAATGACTACTTTCTATACCTTCACTTAACTGTTTAATTATGCAAGTTACAAAATTTTAATGGAACCTTTGCCTAAAAATTGTAATTCTTAGCGACTAAGTGTTTGGTTTTCACTTTTAGTTTATTTTACCAAAAAGTTTTCTGGACTAATATTATATAATATATTAATTAGCGCCTTTTCCTCGCATCCTTACTCGGGTGCGTCCTTAGGTGCCTTTTATATTTTATAATATTATATACCGGCAGCGTTTCCTTTTGGCAAAATTTATTATTAACAAGTAGCCTATATATTATTCCTTCAGGTCATATATAGTCTATAAGAGACGGACCTTGATGGGCCACCAGTCTCAGATGGTACGTCCATGTGGGCTGTTCCTGGTATTTCTCTAATAGTAGAGCGGACTGTGGCTGAAACCTCCAGCCGGGGAGCAACCATATATATAACCTTTGAGGATACTTCAAGTGTGTTTTTTTAGAATATTCCGTCACTAGAGGACGCGATCGGTACTTCTGTCTAAAGATGAATTTTTGAAATCACAAAAATTTTAAATGTTTTTCATATGTAATGATGATTTTTAAAACAATGCGAAAAGACTGGCCTTACCTAACTTACGTATTGAGAAGTCAGATAATTTAAAGTTTATCATGGTGGGCGTGACTACTACGTCATGGCCATATTACAATCTATATCAAGTAGGTACCCGTATCTTCTTCTGATAATGAAATTCGTGGTATGCATGAGTTCCGAGTGACACCAGCGTGATGTGTAGCTGTTGTTTTCAACTTAGTACCTTGAATATAGCATGAGTAAAATATTTAAGAGAATGATAAAGATATCTACGTTTTTATTAAATTATTATTGTAAAAAATCTGTTATAAGCTGTTTTTATTGATTTATGTTGAAAGTATCAACGTATATAATATACAAGCGACTCACCGTCACTACGCTCGGGTTCGTCCTTACTTATATTTTAATGTTTAGTATCGTATATTTCCGTGATGCGGTAACAGACCGACAGACAGACAGACACAGGAAAATTCTAGAAACTATAAATTCGGCCTCTGTCGATAATAATGTCTATTTCAATAAGATTTTCCAAAAAATATTTAATGTACAGATTCGGCTTGGTTACCTATAGATAACAATTTGATCTATATAACGTATAACTTGTTTATTGCATAAAATCTGCTAAACAATCAGAAATACTAATTATATAATATATATTTAGGTACATTATATAAGTAAAGAATAATATGATTTCAAGGATTTTGGTTTTATTTTAACCATTTTATGCATTAAATTTAATATTTTAATTAACCGAAATAGTAACGCTTTATAAATATTTATAGTTGTAGGTACTAGCATTGCCCGCGGCTCGCGGCTTACATATTAGTATACTCTTACATTAAAGTTTTTGTATTTTTTCTCAGAAATGAAATATTTTCCCGCGGTAAAAAGTATCCTATATGTTGACCCGGATAACCAGCTATCACCATACCAAATTTCATCAAAATCCCTCCAGTGGTTTTTCTGTGATACGGTAACAGACAGACAGACAGACAGACGGACAAAAATTCTATTAACTATAGATTCGGACTCTGTATCGATAATAATGTTTATTTCAATAAGATTTTCCAAAAAATATCGAATGTACAGATTCGGATAATGATGATGAATAGTTACAATTTTATTATATGTATATAAATAGATGTAGGTATATAGGTAAACTATTCTTCAACTTGACCTAATTTCACGACAAAACAAAGCTTCTAGGTTTATGCAAAAGCAATTATAGATGCATAAACTCGTAACTTGACCTACTTAACCTTTTTATATTGCTGGGGAATTCATTTGCGCTTCCCACCTACTGCCAGTCTACAGGTCCATCATAAACTGAGATAATAACAGCAAACCCAGCGGTATTATCGTCGTTACCATGAAACTACTATGATAATATGATCACTTGCGTATAATATCACGGCTTTCTAATGATTTGCACCTAGACTCAGGGCCACGCTGTAGATTTTCTCAATATAATGCAAGTTTTTGAAATATCGCTCTTAGATAATTTTCTTTAGAGTTTCGTAGACAAAATTGAAAAACGGAATCCTTAGAATTTCGTCATGTCCGTCCGTCCCTATATCACAGTAACTTAATAGTGTTCGCGTTTAATAGTACACGTGCTCGGATTATGAAGAGTATCTGATCTGCGTTATTTTGTATGTCGGGACTCTACATCTTTCTTGACCCAACAATTGAGTTGTGAATGCACCGCCTCTACCATCATCAGTCCAAACGTTAAACCCCAAGTGCTTCCTCCATCGCAGAATCAATACTCCGTAAGCAAGATGCCTGTTACGTAAATTTTACTGTATGCCAGCACATTTATCTGAAAGTGGTGCACATCAGCGAGGGCTTCCCTTGAGGAATCGTTCACGAGAAATATAGCTGCCATTCATAATATGACAACCTCAACGACCTTTGCAAATGTCTACCCGAATGGCTGATCCACCAAAACACATTTAATTGTAAATATGTATTTTCCACTTACTTTCAGTTTATTCTATCAAATTTACATATTTAGTTAACGTTCAATGTTAACTGACTCACTAAATTATACCTAATATTTATATTTAACATATTGGTACTATTTATTTACACTCAACTTAAACGACACTTTCATTATTAAACAAATATATTCTTATTTGCATATTTATCAATATACCTAATAATTGGATCATCATCATCGAAATATCTTTTTAAATTATATTAATTACAGCTTCCATTTTTCATTATGGTGTTGATGATTTTTGTAAGTATTGTATTAATAATATTTTTATTAGACATGTTCTCTCTTTGTGCGGTTAGAACAAAATGTGGCGTTGGGAAGTGATAGGCAGTGTACAAAAGTATTCACCAAATAAATGCCTTAGACATTTTCATGTCTAACATTTACAAAAGAAAAGAAATATTTTATGCAATACTAGCGACTCATCCTCACTTCGCTCGTGTTCATCCCTAGGTACGCTTTAACGGTTACTATGGAGTAGGTAGTCTATATATTATATGATATATAGTGTAAAGTCTTACTCAATAAACGGGCTATCTAATGCAAAAAGCATTTTTAAATCGGTAAATTAATACTTTCTGAGATTAGCGCGTCCTTGAATTGAAAATAAGTAAACAAACACACACATTCTGCGTCTTTATAATATTAGTATAGATTAAGTTTTAATTCTACCATGATTACTTAATATCATGACTTTAATCAAATATTTTAAATATCTCAGATTAAATAATTATGTAGACAAAGTCAGCCAAAAAAATAATAATATTCTAAGTCAAAAATAATTAATAAAAGTATTTTTTTTTATTTATTACCATTTTATTTACTTACGTTTATATACCTAACTCATAAACAATATTGTTTAGTTTTATGAAATTATAAGAGTTTGTAAATATTAAAACACGACCTTAAAAACTTTATTATTTACATATAATATAGATATCTAAAATACATAAAATACTATATATATATATAAAATTTAACTTTATGTATCAAAAAGTGAGAATAAATTAAACCAACATATAGAAAAACATTTTTAATAGAGAAATATTAAATATATTTCAACAATATTTAAAAATGGCACATCTTAAGGCACTCGGAATGTTCAATTCAAAATGCATTTCTTAGAAGGCGATTATGTATGTTATTATTACTTCTATCATTTTTAATAAAATATTACTACATAGATATATCACATTAAATTTGTTAACATTTAACATTAAGCTTATTATACATTTTTTAGTATGTAAATTAAGACAAACTTTAACTGCTTAGAGATCGATATGTGATGTTTGTATGAAAAATGAAACAATATTTTCCTTTTAAGTACACAATCAATATTGTTCAGTAATAATAATAAAGTTGGATATAGGTATAACATCCAAGCATATATTAAAATGGCGCCACTTTACGTTTTGATCCTTTGCCTGCTCTACATTATTATATATTATAAATATCAATTGATTAAGAATTATTTATAATAAAAAAAAACGATTGGTTTTGAAAATAAATTTCTGTAAATATGCAATGGCAATTATGATATTAGTTTAAAAATTTATTTAGGCGGTATACATATTTTCATTTTAAAGAACGAATTGTATCAAATAGTTATATTTACCAGTAAACTTATTACTTATCATGGAATAGCTAAAGTTTTTCGAGAAAATCGATTATTTAATAATTAATACTCATTGAGCTGTTCGGGTTTTAATTGGACACATTTCGATACGTTCGTGCTCTACCTTTCGGCTAGACAGTGGATAATATCAAAACGCGCCATTACTATTTTACTTAAATATATTCTAATACAAGTATATAAGTACTGGGTTTTTTCTGTATGTATGTATATAAAAAATAACGGTATTACATCACAGTCACTATTCACTTGGTTAAAGTAGTTTTGGTTGTGGTTATTTAATCAAAGTTTGATAATAAAATTTCGATACGTCTAGTAGAATATAGAGCGCAACGCGTATTGATAAGGTTAAATCGAATATATGCTACTGTTATAGTTTTTCATTTCTCATTTGTAAGTAAATTTAAAATATAAAAAAAATATTAATTTTGTTACTATAATCATATAATAGTTTGTCAATAAATTTTTAAATCCTCATTGTAGTCATGGTAGTTTTTCTTATTCTTAAAATTTTTATACCTTTTTGTTCTATTATGGAGTAACTAGTAATATTCTTTTAATAAAAGCACTATTTAGAAATATCATTTTGTATTTTTTTTATTTTTTTTATTAGAAAACATGTATCTATGTATATGGGATTTGTATTACGATAAAATGATATCGGAATGGTTTGTATGGACTTATGACATGAGGGACGGAAAAGAATGTAATATTAAGTACAGTTATTTTAGTAAATATGATCTACATTATAGTATAGTATTTCTTTATGTTTGATAATAATTATCACAAAATTTTGACATTACCTGTGTGTTCATCAGTTTTCTCATATGTAACCTTTTCATTTGAATATAACTTTTCTTGGATAGCAGCAAAAGACTGGCCTTTTGTTTCTGGTAACAGAACCAGAATAAAAATAACACCTCCAATGGACAATAATCCGAAGCACCAAAAAGCGACATAATTTCCCAAATTATCCGCAATCACTTGATATAACTTCGTAACAGCAAATGTCATTAAAGCCACAAATATTTGAATCACACAAGTGGCTTTAGACTTTATATTAGTTGGGAAAATTTCCGACGTAATAGCGAAAGGCACAGTAGCTAAACCTATTGTGTAAGAAAATATAAAAATAGGTATTACAACTATAGGTATAAAATTAAGTGTAACAACGACTTCACTGTTCACATATTTCATGAAGAAGTACGCTCCGATAATGATGTTAGCAATTCCAACACCACACGAGGAGACTAACAAAAGTGGCTTTCTTCCCAATCTGTCGACTAGCTGTGAGGACACGGCTGAAGTGAGCAACTGTACTGTTCCAAATAGTATGCAAGACTCTTTGGCGTCTAAACCTCCTTCAGCCGCACCGAAAATTTGCTGGGCATAAGATATAATGGCGGTACTACCACAGAACTGCTGGGTGAAGTATATGCCTAACAATATAATTAAGCCACGTCTATTTCCACCAACAGTAAATAAATCTTTCCATCGACTTTTATCTTTCATATTCTCATTGACTAGATGGCTCATACTTTCTAATTCTTCACTTATATAATACTTTCCACGTAAGTTTTTTAATGATCTTTCTGCTTTACTCGTGTCCCCTGATTTTATATAGTAATAAGGAGATTCTGGAACAGCGCTGAATGTTACAACGAAAAGGATGGGTATGGCTATGTTAAAGCTTGCCAACCCCAACATTGAGACGTATGGTCCTATGCAGTACTGTGACAGGATGCCAAACTGGAAATTAAAAAAAATACATATAACTATTACTTTAATAAATAAATAAATATTTTGAGATATTAAGACATAGCGCCATCTAGTTCCATGTTGAGCTACGATTCTTGTGTTATGGATACCAGATAGTTGATACACTACACATATATAACTTTAAATACTATTATAAATATAAACACAAATGACTGGAGTACAAACAATCGTGCCCATCACACAAATGAATGCCCCAAAGGGACTCGAACCCGCGACTGCTGGCACAGCAAGTAGGTTCACTACAAACTGAGCCAAACATGTCATTTTAATAATTATTGTTTATAGCACGTGATTTTTAATCCGTTTGTAAATGAAATGGACCTAGTAACTATACAAGTTTTCGCCAAAAATGTAACAAGATTAACGATTAGAATAGTTTCCTATCATTGATAAGATAATCTTTAAATAGCATGGTTTTATGTGTAACAAAATTCAGATATTACTATATATCTATTAGTTTCACGAACATCGCAATCATAGTAAATTAATGAATTAGCGTTTTTATTGTTGGCGTAAAACCTAAGTTTTATATGACAACTGTTAACATTAAAAACAAACTTAAACACGGCCCCCTCGATAACATGTGTTAACTCCATAGAATTTTTGTATGTTTAGAGATATGACTGACCTACTTCCACTTCAGAGGACTAATTCCGCATAGGCACGATGTCGGCGACTACTCGTATAGTTAGTTGGCTTGGCTTCATTTCAAAGTTCTTGTAGCAAGTACTGTTTAAATACCCTTATATGTAAGGACTATGAGAACGGTGTCTTAAAAATATGATTCAATAAACAGACGGACAAAACTCATGTAAATTTATATATGCCTTTCCCTATTATTATACATAAGAATTTTATCATTAGTATGAAAGAATTTTATTTTATTATACGGAATTTGTTTGTAATAAATAAGCAGATAAATATTGTTGACCATAAAAAAGCTATTGCTACTCCTTTTCTTTATTAAGGGTTTAGAAAATATGAAAATATATGCCTAGCTACTTGCTTATATATGTACTCAATTTAAAACTCCCGACGAGACGTAGATCCAAAATGTATGATGAAATGTGATTTGTACTATCACGATTCACGTAGCAATCGAGCAACGGATTGACGTCATATGCTAATTTTTTGAATAACTTATATTAGTATGTATGTATGTGAGTCTAAATGGCAAAATAATAATTTTAGATAGTGTGTATAATATTTCCGTCAAACCTTTTATCCGCACTTTATCAAATTTATAAAATTGAGTATAATATTTTTAGCTAACATTGAAAAACTAACTTTTTTGTATGGACATGAAATGTAATTCAATATATGCAAACCCATAACTGATGGCAATTTCAGAGAATTGGATATCAATGTGTGTCGAGTATTAACAGTACTAGTGCATATTTTATAAAGAATGGAAGTAACATGTTATAAAAATATGATATTAACTAGCTACTAACCCTCGTTTCGCTCGGGTTCGTCCCTAGCTTGTTTCCCCATACAAACTTTCATCCCTATTCTCACCCCCTTAAGGGATGATTTCCGGGATAAAAACTATTCCACTTCACAATTTTTCATATCATGAGATTAAAATAAATCTTATTTTAGAAAAAAAATTTTTTAATTTTCTTGTATAAAAAGCTTGTCTTATTGAGATGATAAAAAAGAGATGAGATGAGATGAGAGAATGATAAAAAAAGAATTATCCAATTTGGTGCAGTCGATCGGAACTTATGCGCGTACATACATTGCGGTGATTCATTTTTATTTATATATATTCTTATAAAATATTAATGTTTTCAGTCTTTTTTTATATAACTTACATTTACGTGTGTAGTTATTTTACGTAACTTGTAACAATAAAAGGTCATATTGGTCAAGTCAAATTAGATATATCAAAATTCGTGCTGTTTTTTTTAAATAATAAGGATTGTTTATACGATATTTAGTTCGTTAACATTAAATAACTTCCCTAAATTAATAGAATTTTTGTACTTAAATATTCTTTTTTTTTAAAGTTACGTTTCTCCAGGACAGAAATCACCTCCGTACAAATTATTACACTTCATCGTAATTCTTTCTTAAATTTACGCGAATATTTGACATTTTAAATAAAACGGTAGAGACTCTCCCGTGACCATGGATGCTGTAAAGCATTCGAAACGTCGGGAACCAAAAATCCAAATAAATCCGCAAAAAATCCGAAAAGATAGTTTTATGTATTTAAAATACACTTCATCGTAATAATACTTTTAATATAAAAACTTTACTATACAAAAATATTTTCAAAATAATGCAAGATTTATTAATATTGTCTAAGTTTGAACAGTTTTTACTAAATGCATATGAAAATATATGCGGTGCTAATAAGATAAAAAACAACTTTTAAATTTTTGTGTGTCTGTCTGTTTGCCCGACTAAACTCCGATACGGCTGCACAGATTTTGACGGCGACTTTCACTGACAGATAGCTGATACTATAAGAAGTAACTTTTTAAAAAATTTATTTTAACAAAAAAAAAACAGAGTTCCGTGCAAAAAAAATAATACCTACCTATGAAATTGTGAACAAAATTGGCGTGCCTAGCGACGCACCCGAGTGGAGAGAGGGTAAAGTCGATAGTTAATAATAAACTTCGGAAGTACGAAATCGCGAGTAATAACAAGTTTTAAATACATTTAATGTTATAATCACCTTTGACATAACTGTGATAAGGGTTGTCATAGCACCACGCACTTCATCGGATGCGATTTCTCCTAAATACATAGGCGCTGCAGTATACGCGATTCCGTAGCCCAGGCCCGATATAATCCGGGCTGCGTATATAACAGGGACGCTGTTAGCCAACATCACTAGGATCCAGCCAATGATGTAAGGAATAGCAGCAAGCAGCAACGTCTTCTTGGTGCCTATTCTGTCTGCGAGGTATGAAGCAGGGATCGGACTGGCCGCTGAAAAATTTAAATAAAATCGTATTAATTTCGTAGATACGGTTTAAGATTTTAAATTTCATAATTATATATGTGATATGAACAGATTTATATATTGAGAACATATTTTTTAAGATATGTTTCATAATGAATAAGACAAATACTTTTCAGCCGTGTTTAAAGTAGAAAAGTGCGCAAAATAACATTTACGAGTTCGAGTGGCGTTTCAGTTACATGTGTAATTAAGGCACTGTTGAATTGCGATCTGATAATGTATAATGTAAGTATCGCAATACGTTGAAATTGCCGACTTTATTTCATCTCACCCGTTATTACAATTGTATTGATGGAGAAGCTATAATTATTTTATATCATATTACAGCTGAATAAACAAACTTTGTTTGTTTGTTTAAACACGCTTATCTCTAGAAATCTAGAAAAATGATTTTTTTTATTGGCTCTGACCAAATTTATAAGCTAGTATATATATATATAATAAGAGTATGCCGCCCACCGCAGTAGCTAACTATTACTGTTCACCTTTTAAAATGCAATCCTGTATATTATGAAAACGCCAAATATAAAAATATTATTATACTAGCGGCTTACCCTCGCTTCGCTCGGGTTCGTCCCTAGTGGATAAAATAAAACAAATCTATCCCACGGGAACCGTACATTTTCCGGAATAAAAAGTAACGTTTATGATATTCCAGATTATAATCTATCACTGTGCCAAATTTCATCCAGACCCGTTCAGCCATTCTAGCGTGATTAAGTAACAAACCATCTAAATTCGCGTTTATAATATTAATAAGATTGAAATCGTATTGTCATAAATATTTACGTAGTAATTTAAGAATAAAAATCAATTGCTAGTTTTGCTTTCCTATGGTTGAATTATAGAGTCATATTTCAGCTTAACTATGAAATATCTATATAAAATTCCATCCTCTATAAGGGTTTAACCCTTTAGATAATGTTTTTTTTTAATATTTTTATAGTACTTACTTTCGCTAAAAGGAACTTTTGTACAAAATAGCACGCTTCTTTATGGCTTTTAGTGCTTCTAATGTGTCGATAAGTGTTAGAGTATCGAAAGGAACTAGGAAGATTGTTTTAAATTCTATAACTACTAATGTATTTAATGATAACTTGTTGAATATGGTCATGTTATACAATTAATTATGTTATAGGTACATAAAATATACCTATACATACCAGATTCATGGTTTTGTATTAAATATTTATCGATATGTTTGCTCGTTTATTTTGGGATGTATGTTTTCTTGAAAATATTTATTAATTAATCTCAATTCAAAAATATAACATTACAAAAAAAAATTCTGTGGCAGTCGGTTCTTCTTATTGAATAAATAATCATCTGATTTACAAATATACCTAAGGTCCATTAAAAAAAAATCGAAAACCTACTAAATCAATAAAAGTCGTGTTTATTATTTTGGATATGGATTGGAGTAATAATAAAAAAAAAACCTATCTTTTCGGATTATTTAAAATGTCAAATATTCGCGTAAATCTAAGAAAGTATATCGATTTCAAAATTAATTTAACCTATTCATAAAAAAAATGGTTCACACTTGGCGAAAATATCGAATGACATACTCGTAGATACATAAAAATCGTACATCTGAATCGATTACCATTTTTTTCATTACCTGAAAACAAAATCATAAGTGAAGCAATCCATGAGCTCTGATCTGCTGAAGTTTTTATAGGGGAGTCCTCGGCCAAGAGTATCGGGAGTGTAGGGGAAGTCCATCCCACCGTCGTGCCGGCCGCCGCCGTAATCAAAGTCGCTGGAAAACAAAAACAAAGTATGTTGGTACTTATTTACTCACTTTGTTGATATTGCCCCTGCTCATTCATATAAGTGGACAATTTCGAAGTTTGTCTAAGGCAATGAAAATATTAAATATTCAGACCTCTCTAACAACGCAGTTTTCATATTTTATATCTATCTACATATATAATAAAAATAAAATACTGTTCGTTGGAAGAATTAACTTTTTTTTCGTAGTAGTTGTTATAGTCAGAATTTTATAGATAAAGAAATAAAAAATTGCCCGGAAAATTGGGAAAGTCGGGAAAACTGAAAGTAATTTATTGTATAGGATTGTGAAATCAAAGATTGATTGAATTTTCTACCAGCCAACATATAATTTTTAAGGTTTATGTCTTTTTTTCCTTTTATGTTATCGTAATTATTGTCTAATTACTCTTTGCAATAAATATTGTCATTATAGTTAAAAAAATTAAAATAGTATTTATGTAGCTTGAAAAAAATATATGAATAAACATTTATGCATTTCATTTTACATTATTAAATCCATAAAACAAGTTTTTTGCATATTTCATTTGCAGATAAACTTGTTTAGAAAATTCTGGACGTGTCTTCAAGGAAATTAAATTTTATATCGAATTAATTAACATTTATTAGGACAATTAGTTATTGACAGTAATATTATTGTACAACTTTATTTAACATGTGTAGATTTTACAAAACTTGTTATGAGTACAAGATGATGTTATTTGTCGCAACATAATCTCCACTAAGTGCAAGTTGGCTCTGTATCCATATATGGTGCATACAGGTACGAGTACGCCTTATAATTTTACCACTTTTTGTTATTTTTTGCCTCACTTAAGACTATTCGTTATAATATTTTATGTTAGGTAATCTCTTACTGAATATTTATTAAAGAGAGGTTAAACTTATGCAGCAGTTACTTTACATTTGAATATAAGCGCGTGCAGCAAAATATACATACGTAGTGCATATAGCCCGTTGCGTGACTTTAAAAATGTCCGTATCTTTTCTATCGTCCCTCGATTGTATTGAACAAAATGTGCGCTTTTGTTGTCACTTTTATGACACACCAAAAACAAAAAGAACCAACTAAAGATAAGCTTCGTGTGTTGTCTCCCGTTTTTAGAACTTTTGTTCTTATTTGCCTTCATTCAACAATATTACCTATATGGGCAAAAACATTTTTTTGAAACAATGGAGATAGAATAGTAGCCGATTCTTATAAGAATAATTATATTTATGTGAATAGACACATATTTTAAATGTGAAAATACTCGTTTGTAATACTGCCTGCCTGTTTCTTCAATTTTTTCTCTAAAACCTCTGAACAGATTTTGCACCAACGACAGCTTACATCACGAGACTTAAGTCACTTTTTATCCTCGTCTCGCTTATTTTATGAACTGAGTTATAAGCAAAATGCTAGTCAAATATGTATTTTAAGTCCTTTTTTTTAACGCCCTACTGCTGGGCACGGGCCTTCGTTCAATACAAGGGGGATCAGGCCATAGTCCACCACGCTGGTCAAGTGCGGGTTGCCGGACTGAACTTGTCTTTCGAAAACTTGCTAGGCTCTCTCAGACATATATGTAAGTTTTCTAACGTTATTTTCCTTTACCGTACCTACGACAAGTGGTAATCTTTTAATGTTGGTAATGACTCGCACATGAAAATATGAGCGCTGCGAGACCCAGGATTTGAACTCGCTTCACTCGGTTTCCTAAGCGAGTGCGTTAACACTGGGCTACCATTACTTGGTCGAATATATGTAGAAGAAATTAAATAAATTAATCGTCCACACTAATAATAAATGTGGAAGTTTGTTAATTTGTGCTTCATTAATGCTAAAGAGCAGCAATACTTATAAAAAAAGCGTGGTATAGCATATAATACGAGGGCGGATCGTTCGTTTAACTTGATATGTTTTGACGTCTACAACAACATTGTTGTACAGTGAAACCTCCTTCCGTCTGTTCGAATCAATGTTATAGCTAACCTCACGTTATATAGGAGATTGCAGGTTTGAGGTACGATTGCAGTTAATTTATTCATGTGTAATTTTTGTATATATGATTTAGTTCTTTTTTTTAATCGGTCAACCGGTTTTAAAAAAAATCAACAATAAATTATTTTTTTAAATAAATTGTTTAATCGAATATGTTATTAATAAAAAACTTTCTTCTTTCAAATTACATGCTTATTACGTGTGCACTAAAAAAAACTTAAAAAAATAACTGACTTCCAGGCACTAAAATGTAAAAAATAACTAGACGGGGGTTTTCACTTGGTATAGATAGGTACCTAATCAGATATTTTCAAAGTCGGTGCCAGCCGACAATATTTTAAGATATGAATATCTAATAGGTAAATTTTACGTATCGAAATATATTAGATTTGCTTTGCATCGGCTGGCACCGACTTCTGAAATCTGATTAGGTATCTATTACTAAATGATTTTATTTAGTTATTTTTACATTTTAGTGCCCGGATGTCGGTTTTTTTATTATCATAGTTATTCGCTGTATTATGTTACGTATAGAAATATACATGTAAGTACTTATGATGTTCTTTACTATTAGCAGGCAATGGATAATTTTCAAGGCTTTGTTATCTCATACATTATTGCTATTGATATTATGAATATTGATTTTGCTTGTATTAGGTGTTTGACCTTCAAGTAATACCCAAAATACAAGATTACCCGAATTACAAAAAGGATATTTTTATACGTTACGTTTAATATCGTGTTTATAACTTAAAATGGTAGATTACTTACGGTAAATATTACGACGGTGAAAAAAACAATTAATTAAAAAAGTCTAAAAGGTAAAAGAGCCAAGTTCGGAACAAAGGTTATGGAAGGTCGTCGGCTTCATTTAATTTCATTAAAAGAATTAAAATGTATAAAAGGAAGTACAACTGAATTTAAGTTATATAATATAGAGGTACACTAAATCAGTGGACGAATAGAAAATATCAATAAAAGCATATTAGTGTAACACTAAAACATATAGGCTCTTATTGTTTTTATGATTTGCCTTTTTCTCAATTTTAAAGTACGTAATAATTTTAATTCTTTATATTTAAATGTGAAAATTGGTTTACAATATTCGAAAAAATCGCTTAACACATACATAAATAAGAACACTCGAATTGAGTACTTCCTCTTTATTTGAAGTCGGTTAACAAAAGGAAAGTACAGTGAAGATAAATTACATTTTCCTTGTTGGCGAATAATAGTAAGATGAAAAAAAGAGAGGGTTCTCTATCAATTAATGTTCTGAAAGCGGTGAATTTTTTTACTTGAGTTTTAGCCAAAAACGTATTGAATTTTTTTATTTGTGCCCGTTATATATAGATTATTGTTGGATCGTATAACGAGAGACATCATTGTAATCAAGCATTATAGTAAGAACTATGAATGTGTGGTTTGTGGCATAAATAGGTACTCGGGATACTCTTAAATAGATATAAATTATTTTGTAAGTATGTACTAAAGGTACATACATAGTTATTTTACTTAGCCTCCCATAAACTTTACTATATCGTAATATACTAATGTTTACTTTTATGATCTTTCCACGCCCCCTCTTATCCATAAACTTTCTTATTACTGTTAGTAATGTAATGGGCAATCAATGTTTTGGTTTAATATTTATTTAATTTATTTTTTACTAGTAGCTCATCCTTGCTTCGCTCAGGTGCGTCCGTATGCACACACCCATATACGCAAGCACATGCGCATGCACGCAAGCACGCATACACACACGCACACACTAACACACATACACAAACTTTGACATTTACAATAATAGTGTGATTAACTTGTAAACCGTCATAGTATTGCCCGCGCTTACTATGCCGGAGTGGCTCGCATGCGAATACTTGTATTGATACTTGTAATGCAGATGTTAAGTTTATTGTCAAATATATTAAACATAACCATAAATTAAAAATAAAACATGTCAACAAAAATAATAACATCATACCTTGCATTTAGCGTAGTTCAACTGATTATATAAACTTGAATAATTTCTTAGCTTAAAGAATTTCGTTGTAAGTATTATATTGAAACATGAGAAAAATTTCCCTAATGCTTTATCTACATTTAGTTATTATGTGAATATTTAAACAAAAAATAACAGTTGCGAAAGTACATAATTTTCTACTTAGCATATCGGTATGGGAAGAAATGTTTCTTCCCATACCTATGGTGCATATTTTAACTTAGGGTATGCTCAGTATCTTGCAAAAAGAAGAAAAAATGAAAATTCATAAACTAAACTAAAAAATCAAAGATCTATTATGTTTATTTTAATCTGTGACTCATATAATTTCGTTACAATTTTAGACTTGTGCAAATTCTATTAGCACTACCAAAATATTTTAGTGCTTCAATGGTGTAGAAGTTAACGGTTCTAAGTAACTATCTTCATTGTTGACGGAGTGAATCATGATTAACTGATACGAAATGACCTAGTTATGATCAATGGCATGGCAAAGGCTGACGGGCCTGAGGTAATGCTGGCGCAATCAATTATTTATTATATTAATTGCTCTCGATGTATTTAGACCGTAACTGCGCTAGATATTTCCTTTTAGCTATTTTTCTATTAATAGTTATATAGACTTATTTAAGACTAACCTTTGATTCTGGTTTCGCTTGAACCTTTTGTATTTGTTTCACTAGTATTTAGTAGTACTCGTAGGTACGCACTAAGTTTCTTTTCTTTCACACAACAAAGGATTGTCTTATTTTTTTGTATATAATTTGAGCGCTGAATTGATTGATCTTCACTTAATCTTGTACAAATAATTTATTTGTGATATTAGTAAATCGTAAAATTACTAAGAAACATGAGATATGAAGTTAGAACCTGAGCTATAAAGTAATTTGTACAATGTTTTAAGCTTAAAGACTCGTGGTTTCTGACGTATTGTTATTGGTATAGTATTGTTATTGGTTTCTTCAGACAGAATATTGGTAAA